GCTAATTCCGTAGATGATTTGTGACTCCTTGCGATAACTTTCTTGCGCGAGAATATTCTATCTTCTTTTTATCTCCCGAGTTCTACAAGCATTTCCTATTAAATGCTGGATCACGCGATTAGCGTTAACATTAGTCCCCTAGCCAATCGCATCATCTAATGCATGACATGGGGCAAAGTAGCCACTTCTGATTGGCCATTAACGTTACGTGCGCGAGCCACACGACTCAATGCACCAATAAAAAGACAGGACAGTCTGAATTGGCATAGTAACCAGTGCCTTGTCATATATGGGGAAATCTTGAAGGCTACAGTGAATTTGGAACGCTGGGAAGGAAAATGATGCAATAACTAGAATGTCAACTGTTATTTAGGCCTTCCTTTGACGTGAATTAAGACTACTATGAAAACAGCTCTAGACAAGTTCGTAATCTAGCGATTAATTCGGCTACCCGTACAGGCTCCACGCTATGGCATAGCGGACCACGAGGGCTACACAGGGGCACAGTATCTACTAATTGACATCCCACATGAAGAGACCGGGGGGTTAATATAAGTGATACTACCACGTTCTAACCTTCAATTTATTGTGTGAGGATACGAGATTGCGGCCCAGTTTTGGGGTTTTTGCAGCGGGACCAACAAGTCCTATGAAACTATTTTGTTTCAAAAGTACACTAGACTCAGCCATTCCGTGCATAGTGTGGATAGATGGATTGCGCCACTTTAAATATATTGTTAGCGAGCGGAAGAGTGATATTAACTTTTGAGGGTGTAATATTTGCTATTCTTCCCATAAAGAAATTTAAAGGAGCTCAGTGGATGCCAGTCTTAACATAATTATTTTGAGCTATCATTCCTCCTCTTAAAGGATGATTTCCTCCTAAATCCTGCTAGGAGGCCAATGCAAAATCATTAAGTAACCCAAGAAACAGACTCATCGCATATCTAAAAGCGCAGACGTCCGGAATAGCTCTAGAACTCGGGTTTTTTAGTTTTGTAAATCGACATTAAAGTAGCCTTGTCTCGATGAATGGACTGCTATTTGAATGTATACAAGATGGATGCGTGATCGATGGATGGAAGGGGCAGTCACCTATACTGCAGCTGCACCAAACCTGCAACCTGGGCCACAGCATGCAATTCGCCCTTTTCCATTGATGAACACTGTCATCCGGCCATCGAGTACACCCTGTAGACTGCAATAAGACCAGTTATATCATGCTGCGGTAGAGCCCACTCCATTCAAGAGGATATGAGACAATATCGGTTAGCCCGATGTCAGAGAAATTAACATCCACCAACTATCCATGGCTCGATTTAGAGCCACTTTTACTCTGACCGTTCGCAGCGAACCTTTCGACAAGAAAAGGCCGAAGG